AGTAATATTTTATAATAGAAGTTGTGTTTCAAATTCAAATTTAAATACATATAAATTTTAATTATTTTTTTTATATTTAAGATCTTTAAAATTTTAGCTTTTATATGTTTAAATTTTAATCTTATTTATACATCAAGAAATTTATTTTTAACGTATACATTGGAAATAGAACTCCCCCCACCCCCCAAGATCATTTTTTGGCTCCATCCCCGATTATATATTCATCTTCATTACTGCAGAAATGCTGAGAGGCATTAAAGCATTCCATAAAAGCATGTTGCAGCTTTGAAATAATGCTGATAAGTGATAACTCACTATCATGACACCACCTGCCTCAGTTTTTATGGAAAAGTGCTGGATTTAGTTGTACATTTAGGGAGATAATATTTAAGGATATATACTAGAACAACCTTACTATAGATTTCTAAGAAACCCTCTAGCCCCTTCTGAACTACTTAATCAAATTAAGTTGGTATTGTTGTAGGGGTGAGCAGATGACAACTAGGACAAGTTGCTGTAGTCTGAGATGGGGTTTAAAGTTTTGAATGAGGTATGAAGAAGGTAGTAAAGAAAACAACATTGTTGTGCAGGGGGTGAGATGTAATGAGTATGAAGGGTCATGAAAGAACAAAGAGAGACAACCAGAAAAGATGCACTGATAAAAGGCCACTTCAATTCACTAGGTCCATCTCCATCCCAAAAGTAAAGAATTGCTGAGATTATCAAAGAACCAAAAATGGAAGTGGAGCTACCCAACAAACATTTTAGATGCCCAGAATAGAAAAGGGAGAAAGTATTTAGTACTTTGTGAGGACCCAACAAATGAGTGGAACTACTCTACTCATTAACAGTTGCCTTTGCCTTCTAGGGTGAGATTTTGTGAGATTATTTATTTGTCTCAATTTGTCTTTTAAAATATGTTCTTACATTATCTCTATGAGACATGAAGGAAATTGTCATCTCTATTTATACTTAAGATAAAAACTAAAATTAATATATTTAAAATTTAAAATTATCACAATAATATAATTTATATGAATGCCTTGTTACACATGAATGGTGACCCAATTATAATGAGAGTGTTCTAAAGATGACAATAGATTGTTTTTAACATTCCTTTTATGCTCTTCTCAGGCAAAAAAAAAAAAAAATGAAATCTGTGTCAGGCACAAAGCCATGTACTTATAGCCCAAATGGATCAATTTCAGGTCCACAGGCATTGAATCGATAAGGTGGGCTTTGTCTGGCCCATTACTTTGTATGGAGGCCCAAACTTCTCGTTTTCGACTTTGCGTTATCGGGTATGGCCACAGATTCGATTACAAGGGATTTGGCTTCTCAGGTTGAACGGTCGCTACTCACTGGTGGCAGCTCTGCTCTCTCCCGCCATACCGGAAGCCGAAAACTACAGTCACTCCAATGGCGACACTCTTTGCGCCGCCTCCGTCAGCTCATCTTAATTCATCTCTCTCGTTTCCTTATCCTTCTCCTTCCTCTTCTTCTTCTTCATCGAAGTATCAGCAGGTATTTCTTGTTCTTTCTTTTTCTTCTTGATATGGATTTCGTTTCTTCTTGATGTTTCAAATCGTGATTCCGTGCGCTGCTTAGAAGCTGTATCTTTTCTGTTTTTCTTCATAATTCATAATTTTTAATTTTGTT